TACAGGCAGCACCAGGGCCATCCACAACACTATATAAATGAATAAGTACATAAATATAACCTACTATATCCATGTTGCTCACATGCAAATATATTTTTAGTGTTGACCACTTAGGATTCAATCATCTATCATGAGATTTGTCCCTGGAGACAACTGATTACTTTTTATCATTAGCCATTAATTGCCTGCAGCTCTTCATCTAGGGGTGAGGGCTTTGTGAGTTCTCTGTCTATACTTTTGACATTCGTTCATAAATTTTGACCTAATGTTATGCTTTCTGTCCCTCCTGATAAGTTTCATGAGTATAAAGACAATCTTTTATATTCCTCAAAATCCTAGAACAATGAACTATCTATATCTATATCTCTATATAATTATATAAAGTGAGGAATTCACTGCCTATATCTACATATCACTAGACATAATAAATATAGATATGTAAATGGATATGGATATGGAAATGGGTGTGGCTATAGATAAAGATCTAGATATGGATATGGAACTGGAAATAGGTATGGGTACAGGTATAGATAAATATAGATAGATAGATAGATAGATAGATAGATAGATAGATAGATAGACAGATAGATGTAGATATATAATATATAGATATAGGCATAGCCATAGACATACATAGTGTATTCCCTCACCTTCTCTGGGTATGTGTCTACTACTACAGGCACATACGTTTGTGTTTATGCTTAGTGGTTATGGTTGAATGAATAAGCAAGCAACTGAGGTACTTCATCTTATCTTCTTTAAAGATACCCAGTTCTTTCATTCCTTTGGAGCTGTCTAATTCTTCTCCCTTTGTTCTACTATACTCATTTCCTCAAACTTCAAACTTTTATTAGCATGTAATATGACACATTCAAACTCAGGCTACCTAATTCTTCTCTTGAGAACTCTTACCTTGCAATCCTATACAAAATATTCACCCATTACTCTTTATTTCTTTTTTAGTTCCTTCAAGGGTGCTTTAAATAGTCTTTCAGTTATTTTATTTTTATGTTTAATAATTTGTTTAACATCTGTTTATGTTAAAATGATTTATAAACAGCATTCTACATGGACACTTGCTCGGCCATGTTCATTGCTGATTTATTCACAATAGTTAGGGAGAAACAACCTATATGTCCTTCAACTGATGAATCGTTACAGAAAATGTGGTACATACACATTATGGAGTGTTATTCAGTTGTAAAGAAAAATGAAATAATGATCTTTGCAGGTACTTAAAACCTGCTCAATAGGAAAAAAAATCACTTCCTACCTGGGGCAAGTAAGGCAATGCATCTTGGAGAAGAACCTACAACCATTACTAAAATAAATCAGCATACTCCTTAACTATTTTCTAAATGTTTGTCCTTATACTTACTGAAATGTAGAAAAGGTGTTTCATCATACAAACTTTTCTTTGAATTAGATGAAATTGATTACAGAATACCACATGAAACAAAATACAGAGCCAAGAAACCCAGTCTCAACTAACATGTCTACATCAGTCTTGAACTTAAAGCTCAAGAATCATTGTGAAAATGGGGGAGGAAAGCTTGTAAGGGCCAGAGAAACCGGAACTTTGCTGTGAGACCCTGTCTCCTAGAAGAGACAGAAGCTACATCCATGTCCATGATGTCTCACTAACATGGCTGCCTAGACATTAGCTTTATAAGGAGAACAAGAACAACAAACATGTTAATGTGTGCAGAGAAAAGCCCAGCAACAATAGAGAAAGAACTATAACTAACTAAGGAAAACTGAGAACAGGAGACAGTCTTTCCTGGGAAACAACACACTAACTGATTACTTAATTCCAAACAGTCTATACAGAAAACATATACAAAAGTACCATTATACAGGCTGGACAGGCCTTATTAGGTATTTAGTAACACATACATACACACACACACACATACACACACACACACACCACCACCACCAACAACAACAACAACAATTAGTGAAAAAAGTACCATAAATTTGAAAGAGCAAGGAGAGGTGTATGGAAATGTTTGATGGAAGGAAAGGGAAGGGACAATGATGTAATTATGTTATAATCTTTAAATTTTGAAAAATGTTTTAGTTATGGGCCTAGCATGCCTTTTCTTCACTCAGCTGTTTCCAGTGCACTGTATGAGGCTTGTTCGTTATTGTCATTGATTTTAATAGGTCAGACCAACCTTCTAAGGTTTCTCAGAAGGTGATTTGGGCCCACCCTATGAGGAGATAGTATGCAGAAAGTAGTGTTGCCTGTTATCAGCTGTACGTCATAAAGTGTTGTTTTACACAGACATGAAATCTAAAGTTTCCCCAGCAAAAGGGAGTTCATAATGATTGCCTATTGAGTACCCAGCAAACATAGTCATTCAGTAATATAGGAGAAATTTGAAAACATTAAACATAAATATTGCTATCACACATATCTCTATCTGATAAGGTGGATTTTTTTATTATCTCTTACAAATTTTGCTCACTAAGAGTCTTGGTTTCATGTCAAAAACCTCCCCACAGCTTTCTCTCTGCTTCCAGATGTAACATATGTTTCACTCTAAAGAGAATCCTGCTTAATGTCTCCCAGACGTAATCAAAAGGAAAGACATTAGTTTACTTGTCTAATTTTCTCTCATAGCTAAAAAGGTTCCTGCGACTCCCCAATAAATTTCTCTCTGTCAGTGAAAGGCACATCTCATTGCTTGTTCTTCTCAACCTCTTTTTAGAGCCTAATGAAAATGATCAAACTCCAATAAGTATTAGGCTGGCAACTTTATTCCTCTTCCTCTTTCATTTCAGGAATCACATTGGTCCCCACCTTCATCTATGGTATTTCACTTTGTCTGCTTGCTGTGTCTTGTTGGTTAGTTAATGGTACATCTCCTGTACTTTCAGAAGTGCTTTTAGTTCAATGAAATGGATTAGAAAACACCAGAAATTAAATTTATGCAAGAATCTGTTCACTTTATAAATTGGCCATACTCCAACAAAATCTACACAAGAGAGTAGATTCTCTTTTTGTAGCATTTTTAAAGTCAGAGTACCCATGGGTTTTTCTAATCCATGTTCATTTACAAGAGTCTCTGGTGAGTTTATTTTGATTATATTAATAAATATTTTTATTGATCAATAAACTATTTAGTCCAGAAATGCTTAGGGTACAAAATGGCTTTCTGTCTGCCAGGATGTATCTTGAAGTAATGGTGGAATTAATTAAAGTTTAAACAAAATGAAAGATTTGGTCAGTCATATGTTATTAAATATAGCATTTGTTTTTGTTTGTTTTTCAGAATTGGAGCAGTTCATTGTCTTTTTTTAATTTAACTTTAATCACCTTGAAGTTTGACTACAGATAACCAATGAAGTTCTCAGGAGGTGTGACCATTCATTATCACTTAAACTTAACTTCAAACATCATGAATTTTCAAATACAAATGACCAATTTAAATTTGAAAACCTGTGAGAATGTACCAAATTAGTATAGTTTTTATCCCCCAATAAAGATGTTTCTTTTCACAGTAGATGGCCATTACTATAGAGAGAGACAACTGGTCTTCATACTGAGAGTAGAAACTATGGGTCTCAGGAATCATTGTGAAAGAGAGGAAAGAAAGATTGTAGGAGCCAGAGGTAGTGGATATTTGTATCGAAACATTGTGATACACAACAGGACTGTTACACGCATGAACTTGAAGTGATGACTGTGTGCATAAGACCCATATAAGATCAAGCCAGACATAATCCCTTCATGGATGGAGTGAGAGATTCTCTAAGTCTCTACTGGAGGAATTAATGGTAGATAATGACATTTCAGATAATCATTCAGGGAAGGATAGTCTTCAGGGATGAGGCCACTTTATAGGTTGCTCATACTCCACTAGATGGTGGTCTTATTCCTGTATACATAGTGGAAGCACTAAGTAGGCTCAGTGGGTTTAGAAAAAGCCCATGAAGTTGGCAGGAATAAGTAATGAGGGTTATAGGAGGCATTGGAGGGGAATAAGTGGATGTGGCTTTAAGCAAATATATATATTCTCAAACAATAAATTTTAAAAGTAAAAGAACGAGATTCCCCCCTCGAATCCAAATGGCCAATTAATTTATAGGCTGAATATATTGGAGCTCATTTGCTTTCTATTCATTTCATTTTATGATTTTCATTTTGTAGTGTTGCAATTCAAGTCTAGTACCTCATGTATGTCAGAAAATTACTACCACTAAGGTACACACCCACAGTGTCAACTTTGTCTAGAATGAGACAAAAAATGAAATTATAATAGTAAGAGAAAACTTTTTCAGAAGGTTATGCCATCATAAAATTTAAATAATACGTTCATTGTTGCTACACACAACAAATGACCACTTATACAAAAGTATAGATATTGAAGGGTAAACTGATGCTTGTGTTCTGTTTTGGCTCACATATTTGTCATGACTACAATGTGTCACAAATCATGATCGCAGCTTTATACGTATTACTTCACTTAAATTTCAAGTCAAAACTGTGAGGTAGGCATTTTTATAATCCCTATTTTACAGTAAGAAATTTGAAGCTTAAGCTTAAAAATGAATACAGTTATGGGAGAGATATAAATACATGCCTATATGATTTTAAAACATATGGAAGCCTCAGTGAGTGATTGTAAATAACTTTCTATTTTCTTTCTTCCTCTAACCTATTTAAAAGAATGAAGAGTATACTTTCTATACTCTAACTGCACACTACATGTTTGCTAACTTTTGAAGACATTCTTCCTGAGCTATATTTTCTCATACTTTTAGAACAACTTTAGCAGTTGGTAGTAGTGTGCAGTGACTGAGAAAATACTGCCTCGTCTTCTGATGAAGACATAGAATTGAGGATTGATAAGACAGCTTGTGGGTAGAGAAGCGTGCTACTGAACCTAATAAATAACCTGAATTTAATCTCCAAGATTCATGGTAGAAGGAGAGAATTGACTACTGCAAGTTGTTGTCTGGCCTCCTCATGTACCATAATAATGTATAATTGCTCCCTGGCAATGGACAAACAGACATCTTGTTGGTGGTGTTTTTCTATTAGTCAGGGTCAGAGCAGTTGGCAGTTTTTTGTTCATCCTAGTTTGATGCCCGTCTTGGTGGTCAAACTTGTTTTATGCCTAGGACTCATAAAAATCAGATCAAAGCAAATCAAATCCAAGCAGGCAGCACAGGAGGAGGAAGATAGAGGGACCTGTGGACTGTGATGCCATCCAAACACCTGCCATCCAGTGTGCTGCACAGGTAGGCCAGAGACACCTGCTTGCCAATATGTCATACAGGGTGAATAGAGAAGGTCACCCAAGGTCCTAACAACCACTTGTCAAGTCTGAAGCAAGAGCCACACAATGTGTAAACATGTGGAAGACAAATGGGTGAAAACGAGAAGTGGAAAGGTTAGAGCATTATCAAGAGAGATGGAACTGAAGACTCAGGGTGGAGAGGAGGAGCCTGTTATCAGCTCTCATCCCTGACACCTGGAGTCGTAGTAAGGTGCCAGCCCAAGCTGCCACTGCTTATATTATCACTAGAGAATTTGGGGATGTCCCTGGTTGGAGCAGCTGCTGGGGACCATCTGAATGTCCAGGGGCTGTGTAAAACTGGGTCTGCCCCTCACTGAAGGCAGGGCTCTGGAGAGCTGGCCCCATCTCTCACCTGTGGCAATACTCCAGAAAGCAGGCGATGCACCTCATCTAGGCAGCAGAGTGGAGCTGCCCCCTGATGACAGGGATGTTGTGTGAGGCAACCACAGGGCATGAGCATAGGAGAGCTGACTACATCATTCATCAACTATGGGATGGCACAGACACAGAGGATGCTCCTTCCCACCCCTGATCCTCACCACCTCTGGCAGTTGGGAAAGCTGGCCACAGGGTCATGAACTCAGGAGAGCTAGCCCTGGAGCAGTGCTGGAGTGCTCGTCCTGGTGATGCAGATAAGGGAGAGCCAGTGGGCTGACCAGCTCAGCTATCACCCAGGTCCAGATCCAGAGCTCTGATTTGACCCACCTCAAAATCTATTTGATTTGTACACAGTTGAAATTTGTGAAAGGGTAGTCCTGCTCTTCCAAAGCCGCAGGATCTCCATGATACAGGTCAACAACAGGATAACTGGAAAAAGTCCTGATGTAGATCCAATATTGATGGTGTCACAGAAGCCAAAGATCTTGTACCAGACTAATGACTCACTGCAATGAATATTTGTAAGTGAAGATGTCTGGATAGAGTGATATACTGTAGAGTACACTCTGACAGCTTTCACAATGGGTTGTTTTCTATGCTTTGGTTTGTTGTTGGTAGTGGTGGAGTTGCTTGTGTGTTTTTAATTTGGGGGAGGAGTTGCAAGGATAAAGGGTAGATATGAGGGGACAGGGAGATGAGCAGGACTGTGGTACATGATGTGAAACTCACAAAGAAACAGTAAGTTTTAAAATGATGTATTATAAATTTCTACTTAAAACCATAGTGCCAAGGCCCTGAGGGACATGAAATCCAGCTCTGAGCTCTCCTCAGTTTTGGAGGGCTCATTGCTACGGCAAAGTACCTTCTAATTAAGAAGTCACATGGTTTTTTTTTTTTTTTTTAGTCAATAACATCTACCACTTTAAGCCTGAGTCACAGTAGCTCATATAGAAAATATTGAAGTAGCAATTGTTCCTCATGTAATTTTGCTTTTTATCGCTTAAAATAGAGAATTTTAGAATACTAGCATACTTCTCATTTAGTAAAATAAAATCAAACTCATGATTAAAATGTCCTATAATTATTTCATTAAAAACCTCTCAAAAATGTTTCTCGTAATTTGCTACTTAAATAAATGGCATTGTAAAAATTTAACATGCTTTTAAAGAAGGATGGAAGGATGTTCTATTTTACGTATTTGTTGGCATTAGAAATAACACATTTAAGTTATCTTTCTAAAATATAAATTATTTCCACTTGGTTATATTTTTTGAAAACCAAATTCCAATTTAGTTCCAAATGAAATGAAATTAAGAAAACTTGGTTTCTCTTTGGGGGCAAGGGGGAAGAGTGGGGGTAGGACGACAAAACCAAACAAAATCAAAACAAAGTCCAAGCATCTGCATCCTTCTCCCTACCACGCCCCATCCCACACACCAACAGCAGCAGGAGCCCAGTGTGTGTGGTCTGCTGGACTCATGAGCCTGATCTAGGCGCTGTGGCAGCATCCTGTCCTCTGTCCAGTGAGATGGCACCGGAGAAACACTCTGATGTCGTGGGATTCTGTGTGGCTAGTGGGTTGTAGGGTGAGGTTTTCAGGATCGTCTTGAGGCTCCTTATTTAGCTTCACCAGCCTCTCCCAGCGCCTTTCTCCCAGGGGCAAGGGCTCGATCAAGAGTGGCTCCTACTCAGCTGAGGGCTGTAAACTTTCCTTCTCTGATCCCTGTCTCACTCTTATCATCTACAATCTCTCCCTCTTCCCCACTGAACTTGTCATGAGCCCTGCCTGGGGCTGGTACTGGATTTCCAGTACTTGAACTGGACCTTCCCCAGGGGAAAGGCTCCTCGGCCACGGCCTCAACTCATCCATTTGTCACTGCCCGCGCCTTCCCGGTCATGCAAGTAATACTTCTTGCTCTTGGTGTGTACTCTGGATCTCATTGTTCTTCCCGGCTTCTCTATTGAAAATCATTGTTGCTGTGGTTGTTATTGTTACCAGAATAGTTTCCTCTGCCCCAACCTCTCCCTCTTGCTTGAAATTGAAAGGTTCCTTGAGCTCTGCCGCCCCTTCCTTCCTTCCTTCCTTCCTTCCTTCCTTCCTTCCTTCCTTCCTTCCTTCCTTTCTTTCTTTCTTTCTTTCTTTCTTTCTTTCTTTCCTTCTTTCTTTCTTTTTTGCTAGTTCTTTTCTTTTTTATTGGATGTTTTATTTACATTTCATATGTTGTCCCCTTACCCCATCTCCCACCCACCCAGGAACCCCCTATCCCCTCACCCCTCCTCCTTCTTCTCTGCGGATATAACCCCTACCTACTCCCCCACTCCCACCTCCCCACCCTCAAAATTCCCACCCCCTGGGGCATCCAGCCTTCATGAGGTCAAGGTTCTCTTCTTCCACCTATGCCCAGCAGGGCCCTCTGGTCTTACTTATTCAGCTGAAGCCCTGGATCCCTCCCTAAGTGCTCCCAGGCTGGTGGTTTAGACCCTGGGAGCTGTGGTTGGTTGGTATTGTTGCTCTCCTCATGGTGCCGCAAATCTTTTCAGCTCCTTCAGTCTTCACTCTAACTCCTCCATTGGGAACCCCATGATCAGTTCAATGGCTAGTTGTGGGCATCTGCCTCTGAATATGTCAGACTCTTGCAGACATCTGAGGAGACATCCATATCAGGCTCTTATCAGCATGCACTTCCTGACTTCCACATCAGCATCTACCTTTGGTGATTGCACATGGGATGAGTACTCAGGTGGGGTGGTCTTGAGACGGCCCCTCCTTCAGTTTCTGTCCCTCACTTTGTCTCCATATTTGCTCCCTTGAATATTTTGTTGCTCCTTCTAAGAAGGACCGAATCACCCCCACTTGGTCTTCCTTCTTTATGAGCTTCATGTGGCCTGTGACTTGCATCTTGGACATTTCAAGGTTCTGGGGTAATATCCAATAATCAGTGAGTGAATACCGCGTGTGTTCTTTTGTGATTGGCTTACTTCACTCAGGATGATAATTTCTAGTTCCATCCATTTACCTAGGAAACTCTCGAATTTATTGTTTTTAATAGCTGAGTAATACTCCATTGTGTAAATATACCACATTTTTTTAATCCATTCCTCTTTCATTAAGACCCACGAAGTCTTTGGTCCCCAATCTGGATTTATCAAAACCTGTGGTGCTCTCCTCCCTCTCTTCTGCTTCCTCAGGTTACTCCCCTGCTTTGTAGGAGTGAGATGACTGGGAAGAGGAGGAAGAGGACCTAGACCGGTCTCTTGCTCTGCGGGGCTTCTTCTGCTTCTTTGATCCTTTGTGGGTTTTCTCTGTCTTTTCAGTTGATCTTTCTCTTGAGTGGCTAGAGTCTCTGGAATAAATGGACTCTCTTGATTTACCCCGCTTAAGATCTCTCTCCTTATGTTTTTTACGATGTTCAATATCAAGACGAAGATCAACAGGATCATCTTTGTATTTCCCTTCAGCCTTGTAGCCAGGTCCTCGTGGACTTTTCAATTCCTCATGAGTCAAACCATGCTTTCTGAATGTACTGGGAGAAATGTCTATCCTCCTGTGTATGTCTGGGCTTTTCTTATTTTTAGCTGCTTCTTGTTCGTTTTCTCTTTTTAGGTATTTACTAAAGCGTTCGTGCAATGTCATTCCAGAGGATCCAAAGTGATGCTCCTTACCGTGATGAACAATGGTCACTATGTGCTGGGCAAACAGTTCTGAGGGGCTACGCTGAGACTGAGCTGACTGTATGTGCTGGGAAATCGATAGGAATTCCTGTTCCTTTTTGTTACTATGGACTAGATCCCGACAAAGCTTTCGTTCCTGAGCCAATAAGCCGCTGGTTCGTGCAAGGTCCTCATCGAAGAAGTCCATCCGGACGTTGACCTGGGCCTCTCAAGTAATGGAAAAGGAAGACTTCCCTGAGGAAACATCTCCTTTGTTTCCCAGCTTGCCATGGCTCTCAGAGGTCTTCCTTGGGGGAGGTAATGAACTTTTCTCCTGGACTGCCTTGTATGCAATCACTCGGAAATTCTTTTCTGACACAAAGCCACTGTGCCCACTGTCGCTCCTCTTGGACCCTCCACGCTCCTCCTTTCGGGATCTCTCTATGAAAGGCTCCTCCTCCAGCTCCTCTACTTTCCTCTGCTTTTCCTTCCCTGCATGCAGGCTCTCAAACTTGCCTGACTTCTCTTCCTCCTGGTTTTTGCTTGCACCAGCTATGACTTTAGACATAAATTTGGGCTCATCATCAAACTCGGGTTCCTTCCTTCCCTTACTTTTGTCCTTATCTTGCTCATCCATCTCTTCCTTGTGGAAGTCAGCCATCTTTTTCTCAAAGTCATCCCGGAGCTTATACCTTTTGGGTGACTGGCTGCCTCGGAAGGGCTTCTCAGTGTCCGACTTGAGAGCAAATGGATCAGATTTCATTTTGATATCAGCATCAGAGAAGCCCCCTTTCTCCTTCA